AAATTAACTTTTTCAACTTAATTTTTGAAAATGTTCCGGAAATACTGCGTCCCTTAAACATATATAAAATTAAAGGATATGTTATACACTATCAAATGAAAAAAAAAAATTTGTCCCGACGACCTATCTTCTATGCGCAAACGGCTACCGTATTCAAAAATATGCTATTTTTCTATTAAAATTCTAGGTTTTGTATTTTATTTTATTTTAAAATATCTTATTAGGGGAATAAACTGATTGTCATGAATATTATATTATTTCATTGACATAGAATAAAGTTCATAAGACATATGAGATTATACTTATTAAAATTTTTTTACTTTTTTGAAGTCGAAAAAGTAATTTTTAAATTTGAGTCAGCTTAAATAGCCAATTTTATTAAGAGACGAAGGCAACGAACAGTTGCCGAATCGGTAACACTTGTGTCTATCACGCGTAGGGTACGAGATTCAAATCCGACTGTGGCAAATAATATTTTGCATTTTTTTTTTGAGTTAGAATAAAATTTTTAAATCATTTGATATTTATCTTATTTAAATTCAATAACTTCAATAAATATTAAAGATCCTTCACTTAAGTCTCCCTTTGTGAGAAGAAATATCTTATTCATGTTAATATTATTTTGCTATGTAGTTTTCTTTGTGGCTATGATTTAATTAAATGAACCAATCAAACCAAAGTAGTTAAAAATATTTACTCAATTGAGCGTATCTTAAATTGAAGCTTATGTAATATACTTTAATTTGAAAAAAAAAATTTGACCTCTGGACTTGTCTTCGTAGTGAAAATGGCTACCAAATGCTATTTTCGTGAAAAAATTCTCGATTTTATTTTTTACATTTTTAATTTTATAATGCTATAACTAATTGAAAAGTGTATGGATCAACACAATTTTTTTGTGAGAAATAATATTTTTTAATAATCCATTTTTCATTCGACATACTTTATCTTAATCAAGATATTAATAAGGAACTAGCAGATCATGTAGCTTTTGGAATTATACACTAATTTTTTTTAAATTAAACACAATCTAAATATTTGCATCGAAGCGTTTAATTTTGATAGTCATTTTAATCACTGTCAGAAATCATTATACTTGATCCAACTATACCATGGCATCACTGTGATCCGCGACCCCCCTGTGCTGGGTTTTTTTTTTATATTCTTCTTGAAGTACCAACTATAATTAATTATATATATATATATATGTAAATATTAAATTATTCTTGTTTTAATTGTGGATTACAACGGCTTATGCTACCTTTCTTTTCTAAAAAAAAACTTATTGTCTATTCGTGTGTTACACGATTACAGTGGTGTTAACTGACTCACCAGCAAAGAATTAAAACTGGATTTACGTGATTAAGGTAAGAAAATTATTGCTGACTTTATTTTATTTTATTGCTTAATTTTTTTATATAAGATACAGCTAGGTTTTCTTAACCATACCTGTGCTATGAGTTATTCTGAGCGCACAATTCGCTGATAACAGCATTGAATTCCCCACCCGATTATCATATATTGTCAGTTTCAAAGAGGTTGGTGGGGAATAGAAAAATATTTTTTTGAAAATTATAAATTATAGGTTAATATTAACTTCTGAAAAGAAAAAAATACATTTTTTTATAATATGGTAGGGTATGGTGAGGTTGAGTTGGGTATCCTGATATATACGAATAAATTTAAAATTCGAAATTTTGCATTAATACTTTTTCAATATAAAGAATAAAATATAGATTTTCTTAAAAATTGATATTTTTGTCATCTTTTCCCAATTATGGTGTAAGATGACAAAAACGATCGTTAAATTTTATAATCAAAACTATTGTGAAAGAAAGAAGTATTTATGAATTATGACGTAATATGCTAATGGTTTTGCATTATGTATCTTACATTTATGAATCAAAAATGTATATGTATTTTATATTACTTATACACAATCGAATTATTACTTTATCTGTCATAACAACCTTTGATGAAAGATTAAGATGATTGTTCTTTCGGTGTTGTGGACAATATAATCAAAGGATAAATTAACCAATTTTTTTTGAATAATTTTATTACTTTGTAAGGGGGATTTTTAATTCAGCCTGTAACAAGAACATGGTTTGCCACTTGCATAATGACTAGCTACAGTAGTTAAGGTCGCCAGCACCTAGGCGAGGTGTCACACCTATCAGATATGATAACGTTATGATATGTGCGTGTAGTCTAAAATTTTTTATTTTTTACATAACAATTAGTCGTTAAGTCATTCACTGTTGTAGTTTTATATAATAAGTGTTAACTCCTAACGCTTTGGAAGTCGATTCTAGGACTGTACTTTAATATTGTGGAAGTTATTAACTTATTAAGTTTTACCTGTTGGTGAGTTAACGACTATAATTTAATTTCTTATCACACAGTAGTTATTTGTTGTTTTACACACATTTTATGTGTGTTATATACACATTTTCCGCAGCAACTCGCGCACATTGTATTCCTGAATCATTTGCGACCTGTGGTTTTTTCCAAACAAATAATGTAATTAATTCATTAACTCTATTTTAGATCTTGTATTTTGTACTGATAAAAGACTAAAAGTTGATAAATCTTGTGAGTCACTGGTACCAGAAGATTTATATCACCCAGCATGTACTACTCTGCCTCCTCGTGATAGTAGCCATTATTTCTATAACTTTCGTAAAGCGAACTATGATAATATCCGTTTATTTATTTCATCATTTGATTGGAGTTCTACATTTCTCCTCCATGATTCTGATTCGACTGTAAATTTATTTTATGATGCTTTGCACAAAGCCGTCATTGATTTTGTTCCTCAATGCTATTATAAAGATTCGTCATATCCTCCATGGTTTAATAAAGATGTTAATCGAACACTGATTCTCAAGAAAAAAGCACAAGCAAGATATAATTTCACTTTAAATATGTCGGACTATAAAGAATTCTCGTTTCTCCGTGCAAAATATAAATTTGATTCCAAAAAATGTTATTGTATTTACGTTATACGTCCTGAACTTTTAATTAATGATAATCCTCATGACTTTTGAAAATTTGTAAACAGCAAACATTCTAGTAAAAACAAAAAATACAAAGTTATGTCATTAAATGGTAATAGTATTTTTAATGAACAGGAGACAGCTAATTTGTTATCAAATTATTTTTCTACTGTTTATTCTACAGATTAGAACGAGGTTCACATAGAAAAATTGGTTATCTTTACTTATGACCTACCAAATAATGTGACTTTTACCATTGATGAAATTTTCCGATGCCTTTCAAGTCTTTGTGGCAACTAATCCATTGGACTTGATGATCTCGCCGGGTCATTCTTATTTGAACTAAGGTCAGCTTTGGCATAACCGCTGTGGATACTATTTAGACGATCGCTTAATGAGGGTATTTTTCCAACGTTATTTAAGTTTAGCTCAGTAACACCGGTTCATAAATCAGGCTCTCCGTCTATAGTTTCTAACTACCAACCTATCTCTATCCAATCACATTTATCAAAAATATTTGAGTCATTAGTCTTAAAAGCCATCCAACCATCTATAAATAGTATGATTATGGAAGAACAGCATGGCTTTCGCCCAGGTCGTTCATCCACCACAAATNAATTAATGATAATCCTCATGACTTTTGAAAATTTGTAAACAGCAAACATTCTAGTAAAAACAAAAAATACAAAGTTATGTCATTAAATGGTAATAGTATTTTTAATGAACAGGAGACAGCTAATTTGTTATCAAATTATTTTTCTACTGTTTATTCTACAGATTAGAACGAGGTTCACATAGAAAAATTGGTTATCTTTACTTATGACCTACCAAATAATGTGACTTTTACCATTGATGAAATTTTCCGATGCCTTTCAAGTCTTTGTGGCAACTAATCCATTGGACTTGATGATCTCGCCGGGTCATTCTTATTTGAACTAAGGTCAGCTTTGGCATAACCGCTGTGGATACTATTTAGACGATCGCTTAATGAGGGTATTTTTCCAACGTTATTTAAGTTTAGCTCAGTAACACCGGTTCATAAATCAGGCTCTCCGTCTATAGTTTCTAACTACCAACCTATCTCTATCCAATCACATTTATCAAAAATATTTGAGTCATTAGTCTTAAAAGCCATCCAACCATCTATAAATAGTATGATTATGGAAGAACAGCATGGCTTTCGCCCAGGTCGTTCATCCACCACAAATAATCTCCTATTCTGTAATTATATTTTTGACTCATTTCAGAATCATTCTCAGGTGGATGTAATATATACCGATTTTAAAAAGCTTTTGATTCAGTGAATCATAATGCTCTTATTAGTGTTTTAGGTAAATCTGGTTTAGGTGAACCTCTCTTATCTTGGTTTAAATCCTATCTTCATGACCGATACCAATAGGTTAAGCTATTTGGTATAAAGTCTAAACTATGTTTAACCCCATCTGGTGTTCCAAAGGGGGTCACATCTATCTCCACTTTTGTTCTCCTTATTTATTAATAGTGTCATTCAAGTTCTACTCCACTACCGCATTCTCTGTTTTGCTGATGACATCAAGTTATATATGCATGTATCTACAATTTACGTTTGCCTAAAGTTACAAGCTGATTTTGATTTCTTTTCTAAAAAAATTTGTGGTGGATGAACGACCTGGGCGAAAGCCATGCTGTTCTTCCATAATCATACTATTTATAGATGGTTGGATGGCTTTTAAGACTAATGACTCAAATATTTTTGATAAATGTGATTGGATAGAGATAGGTTGGTAGTTAGAAACTATAGACGGAGAGCCTGATTTATGAACCGGTGTTACTGAGCTAAACTTAAATAACGTTGGAAAAATACCCTCATTAAGCGATCGTCTAAATAGTATCCACAGCGGTTATGCCAAAGCTGACCTTAGTTCAAATAAGAATGACCCGGCGAGATCATCAAGTCCAATGGATTAGTTGCCACAAAGACTTGAAAGGCATCGGAAAATTTCATCAATGGTAAAAGTCACATTATTTGGTNCCAGGAGATCTAATAGAAATATTTGTATAATGATCACCGCCAAGAAAAATAATTGCCAAATTAAGAAGTTCTCTATAGTCTTCTTTTGGTTGATTAATTTTTATTTTTTCCATTAGAAACGAAATTAATTCATTTTCTAAACCGTTTAATTGTGTTTTAACCATAATATCTTCTAAACCTGGATTTATTGTACAGTTTTTAATCTGTGGCCAACTTTTTTGAAATTTTTTAAACAGTGGTATATTTGGTCCACTAAATAAAGTAATTTTTTGATCAAATACACTTCTTAAAACTATTTCAAATATGTGGTGCCTACATGGTAAGTATAAAAGGTCCCTTTCGAGGTATTGCTCTAAAATAATACAAGCACCTTGTAATCTCCCCATATTAGAGGCTGTTGTGTCGCAACAAATAGCCTGAACTTTATTTTCAATATCCCATTCTACTAATAAACTATGAATTGCTGAAGCTTGTTCTCTTCCTGTACTTGATTTAATAAAAGGAACGCCAAGAAGTTGCTCATTACCATTGAAACTTATAAGTACAGGTAGCCTATCAATTTTTACATTACTAGTTAGTGATGGCAATAATTTGCCATCGAAATGAACAGTAACTGATCTAATATTTTTTTCATGAAACTTCTCAAAAATTTTTTGTGCGTGTTCGGTCCTTAGAAGTTCACGACAACGGTGAATAGAAGTTCGGTTAATAACCAACTCACTAGGATCTAAATTTAGAGCCTCTATAGTTGCTATTAACAAGTGTACGGCATCTCTATCACTTACCTTACATTTGTCAAAAGCGGCAACAAGTTTTGATGTAATAAACTGTCGTTTGCCTCTTTTTCTTTTTGAACAGGATGGTCCAGGTTCATTTTCATCATTGAAATTAGATTCGGAAACATCACAAGACATGTTGGCTTCTTCATTACTACTTATACTACTTGTACTACTGTCTAAAATAGCTACCTCATCTAAAAAAAAAAACTTGCTGTTATTTAATTTATGAACTAATGAAATATTAATAATAAAATACTTACTGGACATAAATTGAGATTTTTGAAGTTTCAAATCTCTTTGTTCTTTCAAAATTTTTTGTGTTTGTTCATGTTTTTCCTGTAAATATAAGTTATAATCTGAACTAGCCATGCAACCTTTTCTTTCCTTATCTCGTTGACAGATCAAAAATAATTTATCTTCTTCAATAGTCATCATTTCCATGGCATTTGCATGTGAAATATCGAACAATTCGTTAAATTTTCCAATGAAATCCTTTTCCTTATTTTCGTGGTTCAACGATGTCCTTTTAGAGCTTTTGTTCAAATTTCTCCATTCTGAATACAGTGACTCCAATTTGTCGATGCTCCTTTGAAATTTTCTGACTGGTATTCTTCCTTTCTCCCAGAATACTTCAACTTCTTTAATAACCAAATGAGCACTGGTTCGTAAGTTTAATTTTACTTTCCTCATATTGTAAAAAAGTACCCTTAATACTTGAATATTTGATGGCAACTTTGATCCGACAATTTGATTTTCATCATAATTAATTAAGTAAATTTTGTCCCTTGATCTAGTGTCCATTATTAAAAGAATTACAAAATAAAAAAAACTCTAACAGATTTAGAACTAAAACTAGAAATAGCAATTTTAATAAAATTGTATAAGAGATATCACAATAACAGTAAAATAATGTTATCGTAATAAACGAAACGATTTCAACGTATGCTTTAGTTCGGTATAAGATGACAGAACAAAGTCCACATTTATACAAACAGCTTGATGTAAAAAAATTCCCAAACTAGATTAAAATCATAATGTTAGTGATTGATTTTTAAACCACTTTTACGCTGTACAATGTACTTATTCGTAGGAAAGACTAAGATTTAGAATTAGAAAATATTTTACTAAACAATATTTGTGCATAATTTTTACATCTAAATTTTATAATTTATATAGATTTTGTAAAAATTTGTCGATTACGCTAATAAAGACTGAATTACGCAAAAAATTAGAATCGGGAAAAATCGGCATATTTATGTGTTTTATTGATTATTCAATTAAATATGCAATATAGAGTAAAAAATAATATAACATATTTTATAGGAAATACATTTTTAAACAAATTTTATTCAGTAAATTTTTTTGATTCAAGTAAAATTTAACAAGTTATACGTAAAAAACTAATTTTTACCCCAATTTATTAAATTTCAACCCTTCTGCGGCACGTGAAAAAATCATTGGACAATCACGAAACTTCACAAAATGTATTTTTTTAACCTATAGAACAATTCTAGGGGGCGTCCTGATTGAATTTAATAAAAAAAATAAATGACCTATGTAGATAAGGACCACCCTAGTGTATATGTATAAAGTGCGATCAAATTAGTAAAATGACTAAAAAGAATATTGATTATTCCCAGTAGATAGGATATAAGAAAACTTCCACGACCCCTCTCCCAGTCGTAAGAGGCGACTATTGAGGTTGCATCAAGTCGAAAGTCGGCGTAAAATTTTTGTTAAATAGTAAAACGTGTCCTAAACAAAACTTAGGCGAATTGTTCAATCTCAGATATACGAGAGGACAACAGGTAAGACAGAATAAAGTAGTTAAAAATGGAGAAGGCCTAAGGAATAAAGTGTTAATTTTTTTTTATTGTTCATTAATTTATGAATTGATTTGATTGTTTTTTTAGCTTTGATGCGAAGCTGAAAAGGTATTAATTTTACCATGTGTTTTTTTTTATGCCTGTTGCCACTTTTACTCAGCTCTTACTGGACCGATTTCTTTCACTAATACGTCAAAAGATCACAAATCGTATCTAAAATTGAAAAAATTTCCCTTGTTCCCCGTAAATGGGGGAAAACTCCAAAAAAATTACAAATTTAAAAATTGCTAATTTTCGAAATTTTTTCAATTTTTTTTTAAATCAATAAAATTTTTTTTTCAGATGCTTGATGTCTTTACTTATCATTTGGTATATTTTTTTTATAAATTTAACCTTATATCTGCCCACAGGGGGGGATTTAAAATAACAACTTTTTCACAAAAATTAACTTTTTCAACTTAACTTTTGAAAGTGTTCCGGAAGTACTGACACTTTTATACATATCTTAAATTAAAGCTAATGTAATATACTTTTTTATAGAAAAAAAAAATTTAGGACTTTATTTTGGTCTTCAAGGTGAAAATGGCTACCCTATGCTATTTTTGTGTTAAAATTCTCGATTTTATATTTTACATTTATAACTTTAAAAACTTTTTGAAAAATGTATAGATCAATACAATTTTTTGATTAGAAATAATATTTATATACTTCTTTCATTCGACATACTATCTTTTAAATAGGACCATTTCCCTTAATACAGAGGGGGTTCAAAACATAAAAATGCATATAGAAAGTAGATCTTTTTCAACTTAATTTTTGAAAGTGTTCCGGAAAGACTGACACTTTTATAAATATCTTAAATTAAAGCTTATGTAATATACTTCAATATTAAAAAAAAAATTTCGGACTTAATATTGTCTTCATGGTGAAAATAGTTACCGTATTCAAAAATATACTATTTTTGTGTTAAAATTTTTGGTTTTGTATTTTATTTTATTATAAGGGGATTAAACTGATTTTAATAAATATTATATCAATCTAATTGACATAGTATAAAAAGTTCACCATTTTTAAATATTTATGTTTCTTTGAAGTTGAGATAACTTTAAAATTTGAACTAGTTAAATTTCCATTTTTATTAGAAACCGTACGTGGCATTCGTCGGTTTCTGAGACGGTAACACTTGGGTCTTTTACGCCTGTGGTAATGAATTTTTCTTAATTCTTTTTGAGTTAGAAAAAAAGTTTAACTTATTTGATTTTTATCTCATTTAGATTCAATAATTTCAATAAATATCAAGGATTCCATTACTATAGTCTCCTCTCGTGAGAAGAAATTCATTATAAACATTATTTTACTATGTGGTTTTATTTTTGTAGCTATCGTTTATTTTCTCATTTCTCACTTGACCTACTTTTTTGAAAACATTTTTTTTTTTTTTATTAAACGCTATCTACAGATTTGTATCGAAGCGTTTTTTATGATAATGATTTTAATCACTGTCAGATATCATCTATACTTGTCCCAACTATGCCACATCCATACTGTGCCGCAACCCCACTGTGCTACTGTTCTTTTTTGTATATATTATTTTGTTTGATTAACCCCCATTTCATTGTTCATCTTAACTTAAGTGTTGGATATCAAAATTAAATATTTTTTTGTTATGTCTACTTATTTATTTAATAGCGCGAAAGAACCTTTTCCTGACTCAGTGGAGTCAACTACTCATTATTTAACGCTGACCGCTAGATAAGGCGATAAAAGAGAAATATAATGAAAATCGAATTGTTTATCAGTATTGATCCCTTCCAAAAAGACTGGCCGTTATCGATTTGAAATTACCGTTATATCGGATCTGTTCCTTGATGTTTGTAATATTATTTGTTTGTTTTTGTTTAAATATTTTATTTTATTTTTGTTGTCTTTATTTGTAGACATGGTTTTTGATTAATTCGCATTTTTGTTCATGTTTAACTAAATTTTCTTTTTTTTAACAATTAAATTAAATTTCCTTATTAATTTCAACTCTAATATTTATTTTATTGCGCGAGTAACATAATTACTCGCGTGTATTTTATCCCTGTTCCTTAATCTAGACACAGGCTATGGTATGTTTTATATATCAACCATATGCAATTTTGATTGTCATAATTGTGTATAATAAACCACGAGGTATTACAGTAATTTATACATATAACGACATATTAACTTATATTATACTTTTAATTAACTTAAAATTAAATTTCATATATTGTTCGGTAATCATATTTATTTATTTATATAATTCAACGGGCTGGGCCTTTTTATAAATAGATATGTACATTTTATACAAAGACTACAATTTTTTTTTTTTAAGTACAAAACAATAAAAAATCTACAATAACTTACAAAGTAAAAAAATTTTAGATATTTAATATTTTTAGAACTAAGTGTTGAATAACGAATTAGTGAAATTAATGTCCTTATTGGCACAAGACATTAAACGCCTTAATGGCTCATACACTAAATAATTGGTGGAAGCATATGGGACAAAAAAGGGAGTATAAGTTTGGATAGAACACTGTGGAACCTTGAAATGATTTAGTGAAAGAAGTTCAGAGGACTTAACATTACCATTAATTAATCCATCTAAAAACCTGATACCTGCATCATATCGCCGTTCAGCCAAAGAAGGTAGGCCTAGCTTATTGGCTATCGGAGAATAGTCGTGAGGTGGACATGGAACTTTTAGTAGGAAACTGAACTATTTGTTGCATGGGGATTCCAAACAACACAATCATATTCCAGTATTGGTTGTACAAGAGCACAGTATAATGTTTTAATAGCAATGTTTAGATGAAAGTATTTTGCCAGTCTAAATAAAAAACCAAGTGCTTTAAACGCCTTACAGCATATATAATTGTGTGGGTTAGGGTCAAGGTTAAAACTTAACGTTAATCCAAGGTCCATGACAAAATCAGTTTGATGTCGGATATTATTTGTGTCAAGGCTATAAGAAAACACTAATGGAGATTTTATCCTATGAAATGTGAAAACCTGACATTTGGAGATATTTAGTGTTAATCCTAATGCACTAAACCATTTATTTTATTTTATTTTTATTTTAACATTATTACAGGCAAAGCCCAAAATTAATTACAATCTTCATAAATATATTAGTA